CATACATTCCTGTTCAGTGCTGCAACTGGACCTCGTCAGTGTGACGGTTGCAGCAAAATAAACATGAGGTATGTGTATACCACAAAAATACAAGACCGCTCAGGCAGTCGATGTGAGGATCCCATGCTAGTGAAGTCACTCGGGTATTCCTGCATGCTAGGCGTAGCTATGCCAGGAATTTCGTTGGTTACCTGATATTACTAGTATAGTTTCACGCAGTTGAATATAAGATTTTCACGCAGTTAAATCTGTATAATTTCGTGTAGTTGAATATAAGATTCTCACACAGTTAAACCTGTGCAATTTCACACAGTTAGATCTGTATAGTTTCGCGCATTTAAATACAAGATTTTCACGCGGTTACCCCTCACCTCTGACTCTTGGCCCGCAGCTGTTATGTATCCATGGTTTCCGTGGCCTGGTTTTTTTTTGCTTCTTTCATGCTCTTCAAGCCACATGTTATCGCGCACATTTTGAATTTTGTGTATAGCTGCTTTTTTTCTGTCTTGATCAAACTGACATTGGTTTCTGCCACCTAAATTTAAATTCAGCATCTAAGCATGCTTGGAGCTGCATTATCCATCCGGACTTGGCTAGTGCATAATTCGTTTCCACCCCAATTATGATTTAATGCATGCGTCAGAGATTTGTAAACTGTACGAAAATCCCATCGAAAAAAACTGATTTTTAGGTGCTGCAAATCCATGCAAATTATCGGCAGAAGAGTACCGGTCAATTGTCACTGATCTCTGTATCTCTACAATTCAGTGGTTGTTTAGCGCGGATATTCACATCGATGAAGGAAACCGGTGATCGGCTAGTAATCATCAACTATGTCATTGCTGCACTGTTGAATGGAGTGATTTTTGCTCAGTTCTTCCTGTACTGGAAGAGCACTGAGAAAAAGAAATTGGCATAACTCCTTCACTGGTTGCCATTCTCTGAACATTTTTGCTTTTCTTCGAAGCATTTCCGCACAGACCAAACAATCATTATGAAGAGATGATGTCATAATGGTTGTTTGGTGTATGTGGAATTGCTCCTGTGTCGTCCAATTTTTTAGGCCTACCTTGAAATGGTATTTGGGAAATGGATTGGTAGAGCGGTCTGAAGATAGAAGGTGAAGTGCCAAATGATTTGCGCTTCACAGATGGCATAGTTTTTAATGCCAACGACCCCGCAAAATGGAGGAGATGCTACAGGAGCTCGATGGATGAAGTAAGAAAGTGGGCTTGAAAATTAACACATCGGAAACGAAGTTAATGCAAACTCCCGTATGCCCACGACAGGATCACGGAGAGACAGTATGGAAGAAGTTGAGAGTTACGTCCATCTCGGACAAGAAGTAGATATTTGACACATTGTCCATCTGGAGATCGCGCGTCGAAGAGCTACTAGTTGGCTAAAATTCTACCATATCATCGATGTCCCCAAAGTATCGAACTGGAAGGACCATGCCACATTTTCAATACTGCTGTACTGAAGCAATGACATACGGATGCGAAACATGATCACTGATGAAAGCTGGAGGAGGGAGCGCTGGTGGGGAGAGCGATGGAGAGAAGAGCGCTTGGTGTATCTCTGCACGACCATACAAACAGTCAGACTTTCCATCAGATGAGCAACGTGCAGGATGTCATTACAACTATGTGAGAAAACAAAATGTGCTGGGCAGGACATGTTGCCCATCTTGCTGACAACCGATACATGATGCGCATTAGTAAATAGTATTTCCGAGAAAGTAAACGACCACTCAGACAAGGCCCAAGGAGTAGTGCACATACATAGAACAGGTGTGAATACTAATTGGAAGTATGCAGCGGGAACCGAAGGCCTGGCGTAGCTATGCTCGGTATGTGGGATAACTCCTGTAACTTCACGACGGGGGGGATTCCACACTGATGTTCCGGACGGTCTTGGTATTCCTGGTGTCTGTGCCTATGCCTTGAATAAACTTGGGATCGTGATTCATGTGAATGTACTGGTTTAAAATTAAAGCATACTTATGACCCTTGACCTCAGATACAAAGTGGAGTCGATGTTGTAAAATGGAGTCGACTTTCAGATAATTCGAAATGTTAACAGCTCATGTCATAATAGGGACGCAAATGATTTGAAACCAGAAGCTTCTCAGTTGCACCATAACCCGACCTGTGGCCCCAGTTCAGGTCTCAGACGTTGGACCCATAAAATTTGTGCTGGATGGTTCTTAACTGGTAACTGTTAAACTGGTAATCTCATCAACATATTTTGGCCTATGCTACAGCTGCTAGGATTATTCTCTAGAGTTTGAAATTTCGATGATTTGTTATCACTAGATAATCCAGAAAACATTTTAGTACGATACAGTTACAATGCATCTGTCTTTTCTACGTACTTGCGCAGCCACCCGTTACACGGATTCAGCAGTGAATCGCAAAAACACATTACTTCTGTGGTTACTTTGTTGGTTGCTTTTTGTAAGTATTGTGTTCTGGGAAAGTTCGCGCGACACATGTAGAATATCGTCTCTTTTCTTTCCGTTGCTTGTGAACAATCATTCATGCAGTTAG